AGGGGGGCAGAACAGGGAAAGCTGGGAGACGGGGCACTACAGGCTCGCGTCGCGTCGACACAGGCTCGCGTCGCGTCGACCCTGGCGTCGGCTCCTGACACCGCGGAGATCGTCCGAACCTGAACGGCCGGCCCCTGTCGAGAAGCGCCGAGTCGTTCGACGAGGGGCCGACGCGGTGCCACGGGCGGCGCTCCACGCTGCACGCGCCCGCGCCGGGGTCGCAGGCGGTCGACGCGGCGGGAGCCTGCCGCGACAGGGCGACGGGGCGGCGGCGCGGAGGAGGCGGCGGGCAGGCGGTGAGGGCGCCAAGAGGCGGTGAAGAGAGAAGGGAGGAGGGGCGAGGGGAGGCCCGGCGGGGGGGTTCACCCCCCGGATGGGCAGGGAGGGCGGGGGGGGGTGAGGCGGGGAGGGGGGGGGCCAGGGAGGGAGGGACGGGGCAGGGGAGAGGAGGGGCTGGGGCTGGAGGGGCCGGGGAGGGAGGGGGAGGAAGGGGAGGAGGAGGAGAGGAGGGGAGGGAGGAGGAGGAGAGGAGGAGGAGGAGAGGAGAGGAGGAGGAGGAGGAGGGGAGAGCTGGGGAAGGAGTGCTGGGGAGGAGGAGGAGGAGGAGGAGGAGGAGGAGGAGGAGGAGGGCCTGGGGAAGGAGGGCTGGGGAGGAGGATGGGCTTGGGAAGGAGCAGGGGTCAGATGACGCAGAGGATGAGAGATGGGATGACGAGGAGGAGACATGCGAGGAAGAGGAGGATGAGGAGGAGGAAGAGGAGGACAAAGAGAAGGGAGAAGGGGAGAAGGAACAGGACGAGGGGGGAATGTGTAGAAGGAGAAGGGGAAGGAGTGGGAGTAGCGGGTAGAGGAGTACTCGACGCGGGAATCCCCTTGTGTGCAGATCATGTTCTGGCACTTTCTGCTGTGAGCGTCTGAGTGAAAGAAGATTCGCCTGTGGCGGCTGAGCGTTCCCTGGCCGCTCCCCCATTGAAGTGCCCAAATGTTATGTCTGCTAACCCGCAGTGGACTCTCAAAGCAGAGGGGTCGGCGACGCCAAAAGAGCGCCTCGCTAGAGACATCCTCACAATCTGGGCGCGAACGGGCAAGTTGTAACACCTCCTAACGGCCCCCCTTGGGATGTGCAAGTGATACGGACTGTATAGCTGCTACATCGCAATACTCACGGGGCTCTCAAAGCAGAGGAGTCGGCGACGCCAAAAGAGCGCATCAATCGAGACGTCCCCACAATCTGGGCGCGAACGGGCAAGTGTAGCACCTCCTGGCGGCTCCTCCCGGGATGTTCAAATTTTACGGACTGCATGGCTGCTTTAACGCAGTGTTCACGAGGCTCTCGAAGCAGAGGAATTCGCGGCGACAATTGAAAGCTTCGCTTGCAGCATCTTCACAATCTGGACACGAATGGACAAGTGTAACACCCCCTGGCAGCTCTCATTTGGAGCGTCCAAGTGCAATGACTGCTACATCGCGGTGGTCACGGGGCGCTCCAAGCAGAGGAGTCTGCGACGCCGAACAAGAGCCTAGCTCGAAGCATCCCCGCAGTCTGCGCGCGCACGGACAAGTGTAACACCTCATTGCGGCTCTCCCTTAGTGTCCAAGTACCATGTTTGTTACATTGCCATGATTACTGTTCTCTTTAACCTGAGGAGCTGGCGACGCCAAACGACCATCGCGCTCGAGACGCCCCCACCATCTGGCCACACATGGGCAAATGAACCTGCATCGCAATGGCCACACGACCACGAAGCCGCAGAAGTTGGCGACGCCCAACAAGTACAACAGCCCCTGGCGGCTCTCCCTTGGGGTGGCGAAGTGCTATACCCTACTACATCGCTTTGATCACGGGCTATCGAAGCAGAGGAATTGGTGACGCCTAACAAACGCCTCGCTTGACACATCGCCTCAATCTGGACGCGGGCGGGCAAGTGTAACACCCCCTCTGGCGGCTCTGCCTTGGGGGCGGCCAAGCGGTATGCCCTGCTGCATCGCTGTGACCACGGGCTGCCGCAGCAAAGGAATCGGCGACGCCAAACAAGCGCATTGCTTGACACATCCCCACAATCCGAACGCGAAAGGCCTCCCCCCTGGCGGCTTGCCACGTGGGATGCTCAAGTGATGTGCCTCCTACACCGCAGCGAGCTCTGAGTGCGGCTGTCCTCGGAAGTCAGTCTGGCCAGGTGGAGCGAGTTAGCGGGCCCAACCAGTTCCTACCCTCCCCCTATGAGATAAGAGCGAGCTGTGGCACAACTTGACAAGACCGGATCGCGCTCCCATACAGCGAAAGGAGGCTGCTCGCGCGCGGTCCAGCTTCCGACGACCTGGCGAGTGGACAGCTGCGCGGGCCGCGCTCGTGCGGCGCTGCGGCGGCAGCACGATCTAGCCCTCTCCCCGGTCGGCCAGATTGCCGATGCGTGCGGCCAGGGGCGAAGAAGGCGCCGCACGGAAGCAGCACTGCCACCGTCCCTCGCAGACTGCGCGGCGGCGCTTCTGGACGAGGACCGCACGTCCGCCCGCCCTCGCGCGGCCCCGCGGCCGCTGCAGCCTCCGTGCGGCTCGGCGAGCGAAGAAAATGCGCCGCGCCCGGGGGGGGGGGTCCAACCTGCCAGCGAGAAGTCCACGAACAGCTCGGGCGAGGCCGGCACGTCGTCCACTCGCGCGAGCCCCCAAAAACTTGGCGAGCGAAGCACGAGCGCGCCGCGGCAGCACGGCAGCGCGCCACTCTCAGGCAAAACAGCCGCGCGGCGCCGAGGCGCCGAGGCGGCAGAGGTCCGTCCGCTCGCGCGTCGGCGAATGGGCGAGGGAACATGTGCGCCGCGCCCCAGCGGGAACTCAATCTTCAAGAGAAGTGAGCGTGGCACGGGAGGCTGGATCGGCACTTCGCCCTGCTGCGCGGGATGCGCGCGCCGTCCCATTCCTGTCGCGCATTCGGCAGCGTCGACGACAAAACGTCCATGCTGGGGGGGAACGTTGACTTTTCATTAGTCTTGGTGCGGGGGGATGGGCTCACCCAGATTGGGTTAACATCGGCCGGCTAGGCGGCAACGTAGGAGCATAGACTACGAGATAATAAAGACGCGCGAGTCTGAGTGTATACATCTGTGTGTGAGTAATTGGCGTATGAACGGGCTGGGGGCACGTGGGTCTGAGTGCGAGTGAGCTGAGTATGAGTGGATATGAGTGTGAGCGGTGGATTCTGAGTGTGAGTGAGGCTGAGTATGAATGAGTCTGGGTGTACGAGTCTCGGTGTGAGTGAGTCCGAGCATGAGCGACCTGGAAGTAGGTGGGTCTGAGTGTGAACGAAAAGACTTATGCGTGGGTATGTGTGAGAAGGGCTGAAGCTGGGTGAGAGGGAGGCTGAATGTGTGGGTCTTGGCATGACTGAGTCCGAGCCAGGAGGAAGGAGCGAGAGCGGGCAGTGGGAGCAGGAGGCAGAGGCGTCGCAGGAACAACAGGAACACCAAAAGCAAAGGAAACGGGGGGAAGGAGGGGAGAGAGGGGAAGAGGAGAGTGGAACAGGGGAGGAAAGGAAGGAGGGAAGCGAGGGAAGCGGGTGAGGAGGGGAGGAGAGGACGAGAAGAACGCCAATAGGGGAGGATGAGGGAGGAAGAGGAAAAGGACGATGAGGTGGAGGCGAAGACTAAGCAATGGAGGACGAGAAGGAGGAGGAAGAGAAGGGCTATGAGTAGAGGGGGGGTGAGATGATGATGATGATGATGCTGCTGCTGATGATGATGATGATGATGAGGAGGAGGAGGAGGAGGAGGAGGAGGAGGGCGAGGAAAACGGCGAGGACGAGGAGGAACAGGAAGAGAAGAGGAAGGAGGAGGTGGGAGGAGGAGGGAGAGAGGAAGGGAGAGGATGAGGGGAAGGGGAGGGAGGAGGAGCAGGAGGAGGCGCCTGTGCATGTTCGCTCGGATCGCGTAGCTGAACAGCTCGGTGGCCTGCCAGTGGCGAACAATTCACCCCCCCACCTTGAAATACCACGCTGGGAATCCAGGGTCTGAAAGCCGGAGGAAGGCCAATTGAGGCTTGACTATGGATACCACCGTCGCCTTCAACAGATGAGGAATCCTCCAGGGTTCGAAGCCTCCTGGGCACATCCCTGAAGAACCAACGCCACCGCCGCACAAAACAATCCAGGGTGGCCTCCAGATGGCGAGGAAGCCTGAACACAGCAGCCGACAGACTCACACGCGGCTGACAGGGGATATGTCGACCCCCATCCCAGGCTGCGTGGGTCTTCGAATGGACCAGATCTTGGGGCCCAACCCCAGGACATACGCTGGGGAGGCGCCCGTCCTCGGTAAGGGGTGCGTCCGATGGGCCCCCTTGGGGTGCATCCCAGGGTTTCCCCCTTTCTCTGAGCGGCCATTACCAGCCTGGAACATATCCCTATCCCTATGCTGGGCATCGCCCCATCACGATGACTATTTTAGGGATTCCCCCAGTTTTTGAGGGCGCATCCCTAAGATTGCCATCGCCTTTCGGCGTGTCAATCTTAGGGATAGGGATAAGTTCGAGGCTGGTGAGGCCAAGCTGCGCAGGCGGAACTCGGGGACGGCGGGGACCGCCAGGGGCAAGGCCCAAACGGGGGTGCCGTTTTAGAGCGACGTGGGCCACCATGCAGGATCGGGAGCGGCCAAGAGGGGGGTGTCCAAGAGGGGGGGGTGCAAATCATGAGCGGCAGCATGTGCGCGGCCCAGCGGGGGGGCCAGGGACGTCATGAAATAAGCAGAGGCGCCATGAGATCTGGGGACAGATCATGGCCCCCGCCATGATATCCCCCCCCCCCTAGTCATCACCCCCCCCTCTTCTCCGCCCCCGACAGGAGGGGGGAAGGGGGCGGAGGGCACGGCCGAAAAAGCGGGGGCGGAGAGGGGGGGCGGAGCACACACCGGCGGATGGGCGCACGCGCGGAGCGGAGCGTGCCGAGGCACCTCCGCCTGGAAAAAACCGCAGGCACGCGAGGGGCCAAGCGCGCACAGGGCCGCGCGCGGGCC